CACATCCAGTGGGAGCTGTTGTCAACCGAAGAGGTAATCATCCCCGATTGGCAAGACTGGGTTTAGACTGCTGCATGCCGTGCCTTGTCTTTCATTGGAAAACAGACCTTTGAGAAGTTAGGAAAAGTTTAAATGAGCAATTTGAATAGTAAAGGGAAGGCTGATGAAAATTAATTCCAGGTGCAAAGGGAAATTGAAGGGAAATAACTGAACAGATGATAATAGAAGAGCAGAAAATGAACCATTTTCCTGAAAGAAAAACAAGGTGCTTTTTTAATTGAAAGTGTTCCCATTCAGGTAAAGACAAGACATAAGTGCTCAGCAATTTGAGTAGTCCTACAGGTTTCCTGTCATTTCAAAAAGACACACGAGGCATCTACAGCTTGTATTGAGCTGTGCAGTCTGAAGTGAAGGATATTCAGGTGCAAACCTTGTAACAAGAGTTTGTTGGAATCTAGTCTGCAGAATAAGGACTGTTTGGCTGTGGATTGGGAAAAAGGAGTATTATGTTATTTTTTTTTGTTTAGACAAAGTTATTGTCATTAAATAAAAGGGCACATTTAGTCAATTGCATCTCTAGAGCCAAGACAATTTTCAGCCTGTTACTACAGGTTTGCACAGATATAACCGAGGGCACAGTGTAGCCATTGGTGTTTCCTAGGAAGGTGTAAAATCTGACTTTGTGAAGTAAGCTGAGTAGACTGCCTGTTAAAGTAAACGTGTATATGATTATGAATGACGAGTGTTAAGAAATGGTCTGAGAGAAAACCTAGTGTGATTGCGGGTGAGGAAGGTGATATTAAAGATCATGGACAGGATGGGTGGGCTTCAGCCTTCCGTGATGAAACTCCTCTGTGTACCCGAATGTGGTAAGAGTGGTTTTTCTCTAGAATGGAAGCTGAGTATATTATATATCAGCAACATTAATAGATGCCATGGTTCCCAGACGACGCAGGAATGACAAAACCGATTGTTATTCTCCAGGAAAACGTAGTAAGTTATGTTGACTTTGGGAGGGCCTTTGATCTGCCTCCTATGTTTCTCAAATCCAAAAAGTAGGTGACTTCTATGTTGTCTCTTACTGAACCTTCTGGACATTAGTGCCCTACTGAAAGACGTGGGAAACTCATAGGAACGTACAGAACAGGTCGGAGATGGCCTGGCCTCTTTTTTGTTGGACTGGTAAATAGACTGTTTTGAAGAACTGCTTTTCGAGCTGCTCTTCCTCAACTTGCTGATTTTGTCCGTGTCTGATGTCCATGAAGTACATTATAGCCCACAAACCTCAAAGTGACTTTAACAAAAAAAAAAAAAAAAAATCCCTTAAACCCAGGGTTAGCTAAAAATGAAAAAAAAAAAGAGAGAGGGGTAAGAGAAAAAATTAGCTTTTAGACCTTCTAGTGTTTTAAGGTTTTGTAGTATAATTCAATCATGTTTGTAATTACAATTTCTTTTACATCACTTGGATGTAGAATATTTTGATTTCTTTTGCTTTTTCTCATTAAAACCACAAGTCTCGGTTAAGCCCTTCAGTATAGATGAACTTCTGATGTCTTAAGGACTACACTAAAATCTTGAGATTTTTGGTCTCACAGCCAACCAACCTGTGAAAAGCTCTCAGGTTTAGTTTCCCCATTGCTATTCTGGGATGACAGCTCGGACAGAAGAAAGTCGGAGGGGAGCGCATCACCCTCTTGTCCTAAGCGCGGGTCTCAGCGTCTCTGTGTGTCTTGACACGATCTCTCAGATCCTGGCAAAAAATCAGAACAAGTTCCCAAAAGCACCGAGTATCAGCAGCAACTGTGACCTGTAACCATCGCATCTGTGGCACTGGCCTCGGGATGAGACCTCAGCAGTGTGAGTCCAGGCACTCATGCACAGGGCACTTCCCTCTCCCAGTTCAGCAGATCGATCAAGCTGGGACTGCTGGGGCTGCTTTCCTCTTCGAAGGCAAAACAGAAGAAGTGCAAGGCCCAGGTTGGTTTCCATTCGTGCAAGTACCACCTTTTTTGGGAACAGCAAGGGTGTGAAACCAGCCTACGGAGCCTGCTGTCAGCAGTGGGTGTCGCAGCCCACAGCCAGTCAATAGGCAGTAGGAGCCAAAAAGGCAGAGAAACCCGGCCAACTCCAGCAAAAGATGCAGCAGCAAAGGTCCGCAGGAATCTGGCGTTTACTTCTCGCATCGTGGTCTGCTTTTATTCTTGTTGTATTAAAACCGTCATGGCTTTATGCTAATGTGGTTCGTTCCTAGCCAGTGATTATTATGCTTTGGATTAGCAGTGCTCTTGAGAGTATTTTTGATGGAAAATAAAAGAGAGGTAGTCCTGAGAAATAGGAGCGAGAGGGAAAAAGAGCTGTTACTTGCATTAGGTCGGAGCTGTGTGTGTTTGGAGAGGATGAAGGAGAAGGGCCATGTTCGCCGCTGACAGACAGCACAGCAGGACTTCTAGGGCACAGATCTGTGTGAGAGACGATACTGAAATTGAGGGAATAGCGGTGAAAATATGGAAATGGTTTTGACACTGTGTTTGGCTTTTAATGAACCCGCCCTTTGGGTAAATTCCTTTTGACTCCAGTGTTAGTTTTGCTTGACTCTGAATCCATATTTGTTTACCCTGAATGGGAGAAGCTTCCCGGGGGCAGTGAGAGCACAGCTGGTGTGGGACGGAGGGGGTGTGCCTTGCCAAAGGAGAGGATTTTTAAGGGATGTCAGTTCTCCAGGGAACAGCCTCAGCAGTACCAGTTAGGACCAGCTCTCAAAGAGGAGTTGTTGCAGCTCTTGAGATTTAGTAACTAAGGCACCTGGGTAGTAGAAATGGTGGCTCAGTGATAGGGAAAAGGAGAGAGGGTGAGCGGCAAGAGGAATTTCATTATGTTTCAGCTGTGGATTTATGCAGCAAGAAGCCTAATTCAGTAGCTGTAGTGTGTCATTCCCGGTTTACTCATTGGGCCACTTCCGCACCCTGTATCCCCCAAGTTGGGCAGCAAAGACAATACCAGCCCATCAGTTTTAGCAGCATCTCTAAAATATCACAGCAGTGGAACACACTGTGATCTTACGTGCTTTAACTAGAGGCATCTTAAAGATGGAGGAGGGGTAGAAATCACGGTCCCTTTGGATCTTGCATATAGAGTGAGGTGGTCTGTACCCCGTGCTGGTCTTCAAAGCCCAGCAGGTTACAGTGAAATCAGAAAGTGTGAGGAAATTCCTGGTTTCTTCTGCTTTTTACCCTCACCGTTTGTTCAGCATAACCAGGCAGTTTCCAGCCCTGCTGCAGTGTGTCCCAGCCCCTGCACACTGTAAGAAGGTATTTCTCTAGGCAGTTGGCACGAAGAGAACGGAAGGAAATCCTTTGACTGGACTACGTTTTTTGCCTCTGCTTTAAATGTAAAGATGATGTTCTCAGAAATCTCTGTCTTTCTCTCCATTACCCCAAGAGTAGTTGTTTTTAGCCATTTCCACTGAAGCAATTGGGTTCTCTGGATCTTGCTGGCTAGATTTTTTTTTTTTTTTTTCTCCAGAAAGTTACAGGCAGCTATATCTGGCAGTGGTATTTTACAGGAAAAAAAAAACAACAGCAAAAACATTGTGTTGCCAATGTTAAAAACAAGCAAAAGAGCAATAACAAAATAATCAACTTTCTTGCAAAAACCTGAGGGGCTCAAGTAGTATTTCAGTTTGGAGTTCTGATAATGGAACTTCCTTTGTGTTAGAGGTGTGTCTCCGGCTATTCCCATGAAAACCCACCTGAATTTGGCACGCTTAAAGCCTAGAAAAAATTTCCATTGAGACACTTAAGAATTTGCCAGCCAAAACCTGTGTTGAGCCTGTCAGTGTGGAGTAGGTGTGCTCATCCCTTCAGAGCGATGTTCTTGCTGAGCTTCCCGAGCCTGTGCTCATGGCTGAGGTTAGTGCTGAATATACAACAGGTGAAGTGGAAACACTGGGCTGCTGTTTTCAGAGCAGGAGAGGTGATGGTCTTTATGAATCCAGACTGTGCGTACGAACCACTCAAATCGGTTTTACTGGCAGTGTTGCATTACAACACAAGCCTGGGAAATGATGTCCCTTAAAAAAACCCCGACATTTCCCCTGCAAATGTGAGGGGGGAACCATGCAATGTAACTGTGCCAAGTGACACCCCCCTCACCAGACTTCTCTTGCTGTCATCAGGAAGGAAGGATAATTTAAATTCTTCGGGGTTTTTTTTTTTTTTTTTAAGTATTTAGACTATCATCATGCATTACAGTGTAAAGGTTGCAAAAAGCTGAATTTTTCAATAGCAAGCTTAGTGAAAATCAGTAACCCCCTAGGGAAAACAGCCCTAAGTGTGCACTCTATTAATTCTCCAAATCCCTGTGTTAAAAGATAACTGTAGGAATAGGAGGGGAATGAGTGGGCAGAAAGTGGGACTGGAAGGAACCTTCTGAATTTTTGGTACCCTTTCTGTCACTAGGGAATTCCTAATGCAGCCTCTTTTGTAACCCAGGCAGTTTTAATGGACACAGTAATACCAGAGGGTCGTTTTTTATCAGGGTCCTTGCTGCTGATAAATATTAGTTCATGGATTTCTCTTTGCGTTGCAAAAAGGGCTTCCAATTTTTCTTTTAAGCGGTATTGCATTATTTTTTTTTTGAGCTTTCTCTTCCCCAGTCTCTGTCATGGTTCTCCAGGAATGGCTGGTGGATGGACTGCCAGCTGTCTGGAATGACGCAGGATGATTAGTTAAAGATTATGACTTTACTATTGTAATAATCCATATTCCTGTTGAACTTGATTGTTAATACTGATCTTTACAGGACATCATGGATTCCCTTAAAATGAGTGAAAATAATGTTAAAATAATAAAGACTACGATCTTTTCCCTTTTTTACACTTCTCTGTAACCATGGAAAATTTTGACCATCTGTGTGGTCCTCTGATAATTTATTAAAACATTTATTTCACTTCCCCTCTCTCTTTCTTTTCTCCTTTTCTTGTGGAAACTGCAGCTGAGGAAGTGGAAAGACTGGCTGCGATGCGTTCAGATTCTCTAGTTCCTGGGACTCACACGCCTCCCATCAGACGACGAAGCAAATTTGCCACTCTCGGAAGGCTTTTTAAGCCATGGAAGTGGAGGAAGAAGAAGAGCGAAAAATTCAAGCACACTTCTGCAGGTAACAGTCACAGTCGGGTTAGTTCGTTAATCTGGAACGGTTTGCTCAACAAGGCTAAAAATTTGTAATTCAGCCCCAATTTATCTGTGTTTTAAGGTTGTTGAAGCATGACTGGGAGAGATTTCTCAGATTCTCAGAGATCTTTAACTTTGTTACCAGCTTTTTCTTTAAAAAATCCTCAAACAATATGTTGGATACACTACAGTTAGAGCAGCAGCTTTCCAAAGCTGTATATTCAAGTTCTGCTACTAGAGCTAGAGAGTAACTCAGAAGAAATCTTGTTACCAAGAAATTGGTAACAAGAAATAAACTAAACCAAGAAATTGGTTTAGCGGATTATGGGTGAAGGAAATGATGGTTTGAAAAGACAGTGCTAGTGGAGGATTTAGCTACGTTCAAACTCCTTTAAGTGCTAATAGAGGAGCAAGAAAAGTACATGACAAAGGAGTTGACATTGTGGTGAGTTACTTGCGTAACCATAAATTATTTTTTCCATTGGGCAGGAAAGATGTGTCACTTGTTTTCTGAGAAAAACAAATCTCTTCCTGCCGCACCCCTCCTTCTGCCGTCTCGTTCTAACACTCCCGCTTTGAGACTTTTTAATTAAAAAATAAGTATGGAAAACTGCAAAACTGTGTGTTTTGCAACACAGTGATTAAAACTGGAGTAAAAACATGTATTTCCTTTTCTCAGAGGAGAAGGAAGCTTTACCAGACATGCCAGCAGATCTCCTCCTCTTGTAAGAGGGACTTCAGAGTCTGAAGAAACAATTTAAAAGCTGGGTTTCCAGGTTGCAGGGAACGTGTGTCGATTGCAGTACTGGATTTGATCTCAGCTGAATCCAAACCCTTTTTTTTAAATCTTCATTTCTAGTAAGCTAACAGTATCCTGTAGCTGCTCTGCAAAATTGATATTCCTGTCAGCTCCCCTGCTACTAACTGCAGCAAAATTGACAAGAATGTCAAATTTGCTGGGCACCTTGCAGGAGGTACTGGGAGAGATTTAATTCTGGACTGTACCAGAGCTGAGGACCCCACAGTTTCCATCATCCCCAACCCTGGGGAACGGAATCCACCAGGATCCTACCAGACCCCCCTGGAAATTCAGCAGCATTGATTGAACCTAGTATGTGTAAAATAAAAGATTTTGCACTAGAAAACTAGCATTTTTCTGCCAGCATTTCCATGGCCTCTCATCTAATACCTCTGATCTTACTAAGAAAATGTATTTAATTTTTGTAATAAATCAAAGGACAAGCTTATGAGATGGCATAATGAGAGCCAGCATGAAACTTCCTAATACAAGCTTATTTTCTTCCAGTGCACTGATAAATGTGACGCTTGCAAAAAAAAAAAAAAATCCCATTAGTGTCCTACAGGCATGCAACCAAGCTTTCCCACCTGCACAGAACATCAATAATTATCAAAAAATAAATAATAATACAAGTATTTTATTAGGCTCTTATTTGCTGCAACAATAGATTCAATTATTTTAAATGTCGAAAGCGATAAGGGTCAAAACACACGACCTTATCTGTTGAAACTTCCTTTGAAATTAATGGGAGTTTTTTTTCTGGGAGAGGACTGGAAGAAAGCGAGAGTCAGACTGAAAGGTTGCCTTTTTCTTGAAATTTCCAAGTGCCAACATTTTGTATCCATATCTCAATATCAGACTAAAAGCTCTAATTACTTATTCAGAGATGAATGCTTTAGTTCAGTGGCCAGTAGGCAAAAAGCCCTTTTAGGTAGTGGGAAAAGTTATTTTTGACACCTAATAATTGCATAAGATGAGATAGTAATCTGTAAAAAATCTGTAATTTGATTGATGGAGGACCTTAACATTATGGCTATTATATATGGTTATTTTCAGTACATCAATACTCATATTGTGACGTGTAAGCATAACAAGTCCATCATCCTCCATCTTCATGATCGTGTTGTCACTGACAAGCAGAAGGTTAAAAAAGGTGCATATGTTTCACATACTTTGTATGTTTATAGGTTACCACCATGCATTGGTTTTGGCATCCCTGCAGCACTGACTATGCAGAAAGGTTTAAAGTCTAACATTGCCTTGGTGCTGACTCAGCCATGAAGGTGAAAGCCATGAGTTTTGATGCAGACGTCTAATCCCTTTGCCTTACAGTTGGTCTGTCCATGAGCATCATCGTTAGGTATTTTGTAGAGTGACCAGAACAGGTAGAAAAGGTCACACTATGGGGTGGTCTGTTATTGCAGATGGTGAGCACCAGATGAGCCCCACATCTGGCATTTGATTTGAGCAACGTCTTCTGCTGGAAGGTGGAGTATTGAGGAGGTTGTTCAGGACATACACCGTGAGTGACAGATGGGCTCCATCTCAGGACAGGCTCAATCTCAGAGCAAGCAGGAAGGGAGATTATGCTCTGTGAGGAATGCCAATGTACCACAGCAGGGCTAGAAGCAAGTTAATTCTCACTGTAATCCTGCTCCTGGATAGAAGTGAAGCTCCCTCCAGCACAGAGCAAATTTCAATGTCAGGACAGCAAATTATTTTACGACAGAAGATCCTAGTGAAAGTTCTTTCATGGGCGCTGAAACTCCCACAGTACAATATAAACGCTCCTGACAGTGAAGTTACAGATACAGGGAGTTAGACAAAGAAATTAAACTCAGCCACAATGTTATTCATATATCATAGTCAAGTGTGGTGTATTTTTTTTTAACTTGTCTAAAATTTCATCTTGGACAGAAAGCATGGAAACCTTTATTACCATGGAGAGCCGAGGGCCCTCAAGCAGTGAGCAGTAGGATAAAGCTGACAACTCTAGCTTGGGAAGCACGGGCAAGCTTCTAAATAGCAAGACTATATGAGTTAATGGGTTGATTTCTTTTAACTGATAAGGAGCAATCTCACTTAAGGCAGAAGAAGCCAGGAAGAAACAGTGAATTTTCTTTGCCGGAGCACGTTTCCATGGCTGGATGCAGCTGGGATGGCTCCAGCAGGCTGCACAAGGCTTTTAGAGCCACACTGGGCTTTCTGGGAATCAGCAAAGCAGATCGCAAGAGAAAGCTGACTGCCTCCTCAGCCAGACCTTTGTCATTGTTTTTAATACCTTGATCTTGTTCTGCTCACCTTGATGTGAATATGAAAACAGTTCCTGGGTGTGCAGTTGTTTTATTGCAGTGCCGTATGCGTGCTGGTGAAATTGTCATTTCCTGGCGATGTTTTGGAGAAGGAAGTGCTTCTGAAATAAAGAAGCCTGAAGGAAGATAGGTTCTGGGCTTACTTGAAATATTATTGAAGTATTTTATCACTATATTTATCAAGAGCAAACTGCTTGCAACCTTTCAGAAAAAAAAAAAAATCAGTTGCTTGCAGGAGTCTGAATAGGGAAAAATGTCTTGTTTTGCCATTTCACATTTCTGGTGACCTTCATTTTAAAGAATTGGTGCGTCCGTCTTCCCCCGTCCTTACTCCCTGAGTTGCAGTGCTCAGGCACAGGGGAGGAGGAAACATCTGACTTGTATTTGGAGCAACTGGTTGGAATGAGAAGAGGAAAGCAGGAGATGGTGAGAAATTAGGGGATGTGGATAAAGCTCAGCTCTAAGTAGGAGAGACCAGGGATTCAGCAACATTTGTTTTAGGTACAGAGGCGCCCTGTACAAGGAGCAGAGAAAGTCCAGTGTCAGAAGAAAGCTCCACAACAGCTCTGTTGCTAAGTAGAGGGTTGTCTGAGACAGTCAGTCACACTAAAGAGAGAAAATGAAATCTGTTAAACTCAGGCTTTCCACTCCTCCTAGGTACTTTGAAACCTCCCTTCATTTGTGTACCAGATCCCCCTTGTAGAAATACTTGCAACTTATTCGACAGGGCAGTGAGGATGGATAAGTCCTCTGGTACTACATCTCCCATCCCCAAAACTCATGGTCGAGCTAGCAAGCTGTGTCCTGTTCTGTGGCCAAAGACAGAAGTGACAGTGACTTCCTAGCCTCGTGCTTGGGGTACCCTCCTGAGAAGACAGAATTCCACCTCCTACTTCATTTAAAGCTTCTTTTACTTAGTGTGAAATTGTAGAAATTGGTGTTCGGAAGCCCATCTCAAGGTGTAGGGCTGGGGGGTTTGTAGGGATAAAGTTTGGGGCTGAACAAAGTAGATGTGTGTATCAGGAGACCCAAGAGGCGAATCAGTGTGAGCCGGGCATCATCAGTGGGGTTGGCGAAGGTTGAATTAGGGGACTAGAACTTTCAGGGCAGGTTTGTGGGTTGATCTGCTGCCCAGGGACCTTAGGACTCTCTTAACAGTTGTCTGTGCAGAGGATGACAATTGTCTCTTGCTAGCAGTTACTCTGTTAAATTGGAATAGCAGAGGTCTGGAGACTCAAAAGAGTAAAGCCCAATAGTGCAGACAGTGCCACAAAATGAAGCATCTGGCTTTTTTCAATTTGCTTTTTAGGGAGAGCATGCACGTTCTTCCATTTACTTTGATTCATGCTCAAACTTGTTAAAGAAAATTACCAAACCTAAATCCACTCAGGCAACCTTTAGCAGCCCCACTCCCAGAATCTGCATTAAAACAGCCATTCATTTTATGCTCAAATGCTATTTTTTTCACTTGCTAAGCCTCGATGCTTTGGTTTTTCCAACCAGAGTTTTTTAGAAACGGCTCTATAAAAATTCATATGTCGACGTGTTTATATAAGTTAAGTCTCCCAGTCAGAAGAGGGATTGTTTACATTTGGCAGCACTTACAGGCAAGGACTTTTAATGTTTCTGATGAATACCAAGAAGAAAACAAAATGTGGTAGATCTGTGCAATTAGAGGAACTGCTATCCATAAACCATCCCCAGATCGTTTTGTTCCTACTGCTGATTATTTCTAACTACAACAGGTAAATATTTTGAACTTTACTTTCCAGAATATTCCAACTGGTAAAAATTCAATAATGTGTTGGCAGTGCTGCTCTCAACCCTTCCTACTCCCTTCTGCGTTGCCAGTGGTTGCCTCTTGTGTTTTCTCCA